AGCCGAGCCACCGTTTCACTTTTTTACTTTCTGAAAAAAAATGAGCACCACTCCTACATCGATTCTCTGTTTAAAATAAAGAAATGCGTGTCTTGCGGTTTTCAAAAATTATTAACATTAGGGTTTGCGCACTGTCATACAATTTTGGGTTGAATTTTAGTAACCTAACTCCCTTAAAAATTGATCGATTCCCACCGTTTTTGGCTCAAAACGCTTCTACTGTCTTGATCAATCTATATGTTATAGGCCTCTAGAAAGCAAAAATGAGAGAAAACAGCGTGAGGGATTGTATCTGACCTCACCAGGACCACGGCCTTAAACTGGAACGACAACGACTGTAAAAAAAGTTGACATCAGGGTTATGGAAATTTTTAGTCTTAAGAATAATGTTTTAAAAGTTTACCAAAGATGTAGTTGAAATAAAAATGGGTGTCTCGTTCGAGCGTTGTCCACAGATTTCTGTAGCTTTCAAATAAGATATCAAAAGTCGCTCACGTCAAACAACAGGTACATGTCGTAGTTACGCTTAAGTCCAAATCCCACAAGCTTGGGGCATAACATTTGTCACATTTCGGAGGAGTGGTTGCGCGCGGTGCGACGTCCTCGAACACATCGACGCCGTCCTCCAAGCCGCCTACTGACGGCGTGCTCACACCCCGCGCCGCCTCCGACGGCCTCCTCCTCCTCACACTGAGGGGTCCTTCACTAAAAAAAAAATCAGTGTACACCCTCAGAAAAAATCACGAAAACATCATAAAATATCATGACAAAATCACGAAAAAAAATCAGAAAAATTCTAACGCTAACGCGTTAATCGGCCCCTGAAGTTTTAACGAACAATCGTATGCACACGAAGAATAATTATTTAATTAATCACTTATTCAATAGATTGAGCGTCGAAAATTAGAAAAGACTTGATGGTTAGTGTTGTGGCTCTTCGTTCAGTAGTCACCACAATAACAAAACCAACAGCGAGGAAAGCGCCTTATAGAAACTACTTAGTGGGCATTTCCCGGCTATGGCAACTTTTACTCATAGTTACAATTATTCAAACACATGTCATTTAACCAATTCTGAAATGCACGCGAAATCGATAAGAAGGGGTTATTAGAGGTGGGTTGAACATTAAAGTGAGGAGAGTGCATCACTTAATTTATCTAAAAACATAAAGCGAGTTCGTTTGCAAAGGTTGGTACCATTGTTAGAAACCACGCCTCCTTTCTACCCAGGATTGTTGTAGCCACGCCCATTTCTAAACAAACTGTGCAGCTTTGATTTTAAACCGGTAGAAGTTGTGATCGGGATATCTTATGGTATCGATTAAAAGCTTGTTCGATAGCTTAAAGAACGATGCACAATCGGCTCGCGTACACTACCCTGTTTAAATCAATACTAACTGCACTAGAAATTAAAAACAAGACACGAGGAATAAGCGTAAATGTCGCATATTATTTAGCATGCTGTCGTTCTCCACTGGAACGTCACATGGAAATTTTGAACACATCGTGCGGAAACTTAATTTTCGGTCTTGAATTTTTGTCTCATACGTTTAACTGTTAAGTGAAAAGGTAAGCCGCAGGGATCGACAGAAAGAATGATAGAAGTGCGAACCATTGTTGGCTTGGCAGGATTTTGCCGATTTTCGTGATAATTTTGATGTTTAACTTTAATTTTCTCAAAATTGGCCAGAAGGATTTTAATGAGGCTATAGTCAAATGAAATCTAATTTTTGGATTGATTTTTTGTTAAAATTTTATCAAAATCTGTATTACAGAAGTCGCGGTACCTTAATGAAAATGGCGGAAGAAAAAGAATTTCCTCGCACGCGAGCAGAAAGGCCCCCTTGGGGCCTAAAAAATCAACGAGAAGTCATAAAAAATCTAAAAAATAAAAATCAGTAAAAATCACAAAAAAATCAAGAAAAACAGAAAAATTTTTGTACGCTACAATTCTTAGTGAAGGACCCCTCGCCTCAGACCCGGCGAGGCCTCCGACGGCGTCCCCTCACCCGCGCGACCCCATGGCGGCGTCCTCATACCTGCGAGGCCTCCGACGGCGTCCTCATACACCTCGCGGCCTCCCGCGGAGTCCTCGCGCTCTGTCGTCCCCTCCTGTCCGCCACATCGCATTATACGGCCCACACGATCACGTCGCTCAATCAATGCCGAGTTTGCAGTGCCGTTGGAAGCCAATATAACACACCACCGCCCGTGGGGGTGGAGGGTGCGGGTGGTGGTGGTGGGCAGCAGTGCTGCGCAGTGTGCTGACCGCCCCCGCCCCTCGCGCGCGCGCTCTGTTGTTGCAGTACACCTTGCTGACGGAGCTGCGGGAGGTGGTGGTGCCCGAGGACCGCGCGCGCTTCGACGAGCTGGTCTACCGCCGCGAGGTCGAGGGCCGCCGCTGCGTCACCAGGGTGAGTCTCACATTGTGGCGGCTGTTGTTGTTCTTTTGTGTTTTTGCTGTTGTTGTTGTTGTTGTATTTTTTGTTTGTTGTGTTGTTATTGTCGTGTCGTTGTTGTGTTGTTATTTACGTTGTTGTTGTTGCTGCACGTGCATGATTTACAACATACCACCACCCGCACGTACCGTAAACCGTAGAGGATGCTCGCCGCACTCTAAGTGGCGTAGCTGCTTTGTTGCCCAAAAATTGGAACCATTTTAACATTCTTTTAGAGAGGGAGCTCAAATTTTGCGACCTCCATTTTTGTCTTGCTTCTGACCTCTTTAAGTGCGACTTATTTAGCCTTCTTTCAGAGGAGGCCAAACATTAGCATAGGGGGAGGTCAAAGTTTGGCATTCTCTTGATGTGTGCTAAGATTTGGCAGTCCGAAAAAGGGATGCAAGAATTTTGGCAAGAAATGCGGCCACACCAATTAGAGTGCGGAGGCTGAGTCGGAGCAAAGCGCGCTTTGAAATGTGACTACTGTCCCGCCCGCCCAGCCATCCTTCTCGCTTCATCCGACGCGTAACTCGATTCGTTTCGCTCGCACTTCAGTGAATGAGGATGTGAAGCTGCTCCCGATCCTCGCCAAGAATGTAGGGTGGGTGAACAAGTCAGGAATATAACCGTGTTTTGGTGGTCCAGGCTTTATCTCCTCGCTTCCTGGTCGAGAAAACTTTTTCTTGAAACCTCTTTTTCTCGAAAAACTTTTTCTCGAAAACTTTTCTTCGTGCCATTTGCTTTTTTTTAAAGCTGGAAACCTCAGTAAATATGGTTTGTAGTTGTGCCACCAACACCAACACCGACCATCCCTGTGAAAAATATTTTTACAATATTTGTGACGGGAATTAAATTTTACATATCAAGAGAAAACAGGTCGCAAAGTTTTTATCAAACTATTTCGAACCGTGTACAAACTTTGTAATGACTCAGGATACAACAACGTGAAGGCCTAACAAACATCGTCGAGCAAAAGGACTCTTCGAATTTTACCGTTTTGTGTTCATTGCAACCGTGAATTTGTATCGTTTCTGAATCGTTAATTACCAAAAATAAATAAAAAAACATCTTGTTACATTTTGAAAGATATGTTTCACAGTGGTTAGTCAAACGGCGAATCGTTGCACCCTCGTCCTCCCCTTCAAAGTCGCGAGCGAAAGTCGTAAGGGAGCTTGCTTTATTTTTTGATCGCGGGGCGCGGGCGCCCGGGCCCGGCGGGTGCGCTTCCGCTTCCGGTAAATGAGCCGCTCCGCACTTCCGCTCAGTTGGAGACGGGTCGGAGAGCGGGACGCGAGTAGTGCCGTTTTAGTTGTTTGGCTGGGGGCTGATCGACTACGTTGTGCCCTTCACGACGTGCTCTCCACCCCGCCCGCAACCAACCCCTGCTTCTGCACCAAGTACGGACGGAGAGGGGACTGAAGGACGGGCAGAGGGCAGACTGACGGACAGACGGACGGAAAGCGATGTAGAGGACGTAGGGAACGTTCGTGGTCGGGATCCGGACAGAGGATCCCGCAGGATCGCCGCGCGCTGCGCCGCACCCTGGCGCGCTGCTGAGGCACGGCTGGGCTTTCCATCCCGCTTATCGCGTTAAACGATGTGCGAACGAGATTGCATGTCGCATAATAATCTCAGCGAAATGTGGCTATGGCGCCGCCAGAGCGCCGCTCACCGGAAGACCCCCTCCTCACCACTCACCACTCACCACACAGTATGTCTCGCAGACGGCCAATCTCGTCTCTATTAGAGTCGGGGTATGAGGGGAGGGGGGCGGGGGGTGCTCGGAGAATGCCATAGCGTCGTGCCCCCGCGAGTACGACATGCCAGAGAGAGAGAGAGAGAGAGAGAGAGAGAGAGAGAGAGAGAGAGGGGAGGGGAGAGAAGAACGACACACAGGTGTCTCACCGCACCGGACTACTACCCTTATTCCCCTCTGCCCTCCCCACATTCTGGTAACCTTATATGATGCCGAGACATCGCTCGCTCCTCCCTCGCCCCGCACTGTCCCATGTAATGTGGAATTGTGTCACATTCCCAATAGAACATCACATGTCACACTCGTTAAAACGGGACATACCCTTCTTGCATCGCCATCCCATCACGCGCTCACGGGCTCAATGCATGGTGGGCGTACTACCTATGATGCGTTATAACGACTTGACATTCCACGGAATATGACACAATTCACGTTATACTGAATGTGACGTCACAGTATTTGAATAACAGTGCTCTCTCTCTCTCTCTCTCTCTCTCTCTCTCTCTCTCTCTCTCTCTCTCTCTCTCTCTCTCTC